AAAAAAAAAAGAAAGAAAAACAAGTGGAAAACGTTGAAAAGTAGAAACCAATGTATGGTAACCACCAGATCTTCCCATGTACGGACTAAGAGCAAAACCCGGATAGCATCCAAGCAGAAAATTCCACGAATGATGTCTCTAACCTCTACCAAGTATTGTGTGACGAAAATGATGCAGGGTGGGGGAATGGGGGGCCTAGATCTGTGAGAGGTCTGTATATCGTGTGAGTGGCTCATGGTGTGCTGGGTAGAGGGTTGAGGGGAGGTTGTTGAGGAAATTGCATTTTTTTTGTTCTGCGCGTTCTTTATCTCCACTTTCTCACAGTTACGAGAAACTTCAGAAGGCCCGCATCAGAAGTGAGCCTCCATCCCAGTAATTTTAGCAGAAACCTCGTACTTTCTCGGGAAAATTTTGATGAAATCTCTTGTCAAAAAATTTCGGCAGTCACAAAAATCTTCATCAAAAACTTAAAAATCGATTTTCTCACCTGGAAATTTTGTTTCGGATCGCATGATTTCGAAACCAGAACTGAGACCAATGCGCTGAACTCATTTCCAATATCCACGGAGCTGATTCGGTATTCTCTCTCCAACTGTATCACTGCTACATTGCTCGCCGCACCTAAAGCTACGAACCGTCAGATGAACACGTATTCTTCAGATGAACACGTATTCTTGTAAGGCAATACAAAACCAAAAACCTTTCAGATATTTTTTGAATTATAAAATACCGCGAAAAAAATAAGCATAAACAACGATATGGAAGACTCGAAATCGGATGGAACCAGTGAGATGCGCTAGATAAAAATGCTTGTATACAATGTCTGTGTTTCATTTCTTAGCAGTTGTACTCAATTTTTCTGGCCATAGAAGCTGCTAAAACCATCGAAAAGTATCAACTGCGAACTTTAAAATGACCGTCTGCGTAATGTAGGCGTGTGCGGTAGCTGAGTTTGAAATCTTTAGTTGATACATGCACGGAGAATATCCCTGCAAAGTTTCAGCTTCCCGTCTTTTTACGGAATCCTTTCCCGCCAAAGAAATTTGCTGTCCAGTTCTGCATTACTTTAGGGTTTTTACCATTTTATTCAATACTCCTCATACAATTAGAATGCTTAAATCAACCGTAATTCCCAAGCTTAACTTTCTCAGCTAGTAATTTTACCATTTGCACTGAACAATACTGCACTGCTGGTGGTTAAATTACTCTGGCGATCTATTTTTTTTCGAGCCAGCGCAAAGTTTCGAAAATATCACAGTTAAGAGAAGACTTCCCCAGCGAACTGGTAGGTTACGAAAAATTTTGATTATAAAAAAGGAGCGATATAGGTGGATTGTAGCCGCGTAGCAAAGTAAAGGGCAGTACGGGCCTCAAAGGTCCTGTGAGGGAAAGGAAGAGGGTAGTAACCAAAGTCAAATGAAAGGGTCGAAAAACCAAACCCAAATCCTTTTCCTTTTTCTCCTTTTTCTATTCTTTCCTATTATTAGGA